AGCTTGAATTGGATGAATTTAAATGATTATAAATTGAAGTCAGATTAAATTTAGAGCTGGAAACAACAATTTTTTTTTTTAATTGTTTTTTTTTTCACATGCTAAAAAGGCTCACATGCATTTAATTTTCACCCATGCTGTTGGGTCTGTCAAAGGACTAATAGATGACCCCTTTCACAATGAAATTTTATTTCACCTTCAATGTGAATACATAAATAAGTTATATATATTTTTTTTTATATTTAAGTAAAATACCTTTTTTGGAAGAAATTGAACCACATACCATGCATGAAGCAAGAGACACTGCACCATGACATTAGTTTTTTATTCATTTCAATAAAACTAAAAAGCCTTTTCAGTAGTTAAGTGAGTCTACATTTCTTCCTTTTTTATAAGACTTTTGCTCTATTATGATATCAGAACAATTGTTTTACCTTGACATTTTTATTACTATCAATTTGAATTAAGTAATTAAACACATTCTCATGAGGTGTTTTGAAATCCTTTATGCAAGTCATTTTATGTACTAAAAAAGAAGGCAAATGAAGAATAGACTTGTATTCAAGCCCTTTCACATTGATTTATTACCCTGAGCATATGGTATTTGTATTACATCATTCTGAAAATGACAAGTCATGGACTCCTTTCTGACAAATGACAATGAGCACTGGAAACAAATAAAATAATATGAGCAGTACAGTCATTTTGATTTATTCATCAGTTTTGCCACAATGAACATTTCCACGTGATTGATGTCTGATTCAGAAGTGCCACTGCTTCAGCCAAATGTTTTATTACAGTGCACAAGATATTTACTCATGCAGTCAGCCTCAGTGACCGGATCATGACAAATGTCCAGCCTCATTGTGTGACCACATCACGTTTACATTACTAGCACAACACATTAAAAGAGTAAGTAGTAAATGAGTCATTTCTCAAGCTCTCGATAAGATTGAATTCATCATCCGCCCTCGCCCCTCTCTTTATACTCTCTGATTTGACTTTTTGTGACAGTTTTCGTCTCGCTGCTTGGAACATCGCATTCACACACACGTCACGAGATTTGCACCAGTTCTGTGCATTCATTGAGGGCTGAAAGCACAGCAGGTTGAATCACTGCTAGAATTGTCCTATTTCCAACAATGTCAAAGGCACTGCTGGAGCAAGGCCCTGTACCAGGCAATGCCTGATTACATTACCAAGAGCAGATCTCTGCTCACTCATTGGTTACAGCCGAAAAGACAGCAGAAAGTTCAATCCGAATAGATCTGTGATAAATCACACGGCAGTTTGATCAGACACATTTTACTTTTCATTGTACTTCAAGTACATACAAAAGTCTGGAGGCTTGTGGCAGGTATCTTGCGCCTTTAAAGAACAAATTGCATCACTTTATTCCATTCAGGTAACGAAAACGATGACAGAATAAGTGACGATTCTGAGGTGTCGCACCAACAACTTAAATCCAAAGAGACATTTCAGTATTTTTACACGATGCACCGGTGAGGAACATTTGAAGCCATGTCTGGTGCAATGATGTCAAAAGAAAATCAAATTAAAAAAGCAATTGACTTACACTGTTTTATTAATCTACACCAAAGCATATTGGGATCTTCACAACATAAACAACACTCTGTTTTCGGACCACCTCAATTCAGAGAGAGAAAGTCAACCCTAAACACGGATTTTGCAAATCGTTATCAAATAAAAAAAAAGAGTCATCCACAATCACTTTTAAAACATTACTCACTATTTTAGCATGTATTCAGCACATATAACACGATTGACAAAGCATTAGATATTGACAAAGTTTACAGCATTGCTTTTGCAAATATGTCATTAGCAATACATGAATGAACAATTTCACAGTAATATTGTACTCTGTTCTTAATTAACAGCATCTTCGTTTTCAGTGAAATATAATGTTCCTTTGAGAAATGTGCAAATCCTGATAGACCTGGAGAGTCCATAAAGTCAGAGTCACCTTGTAATCACAGGCATGTCTACCTCTTTATGTCTAACAATTACTTGTGGCTAATTTCCAGTCTCACTTTACAGTTGTGTTGCTGCCTTAATCATGGGAGATTGAATTGGTTTGTGTAGTGTCTACTGTCAAGAAGAGGGCAGAATTAACATACTCATCTCCCATCTGCTATGATAATCACAAAAACAGCTCTGGATTTAATCTACTGTCGACAACATACTAGAGGACAAATCCTCTGTATGTTGGTATTTTTCAGTGTCATTAATGGCTCACATAAGTAATCCAACAAACTCCTGTCACGCTATTGGATGAAAATGGTTTAGGAAATGAAAATGGTCAGCTCTATTTGAAGACAAGAAAAGACTTTTCTGCTGACATTCGCAGTGAATGTAGGGCATTCATTCATTCAATGTGACAGAAAAAAATGAAATGAACAAACTATAATTAAGTTTACCAAAGCAAATCAGTTTTTTTAAATAAAGATTTCAATTAGGTTATATTTAGACATGCCAGTTCAGTTATTTTTAACCACATTGTGTTTGTTTCTAAACACAAAATGAAACATTTTCAACTTTCAATAAAGAAGCTTCTAGGGGGTGGCGTGGTGGAGCAGTGGGTATCCTGGAGGGCCAGTGTCCTGTATATTTTTGTTTAAACCCTAATTAAACACACCTGATAATCAAGCTCCAGGAAAGCTCCAGGCAGGTGTGTTGAAGGAAGTTGGAGCTAAACTACGCATGACACCGGCCCTCCAGGACTGAGTTTGGACACCCCTGCCTTCGAGCCTCAGCTGGATCAGTTTGCTTTTCTGTGTAGAGTTTGCATTTTCTCCCTGTTTGCGTGGGTTTCACTGAGTGCTCCGGTTTTCCCCATGGTCCAAAGGGGTGGAGGGGGAATGTGTATTTTCCACATAAAGTATGAAACTGCTGGATCAGTCAGTTTATGATTGCGGTGCGCTCATGGCATTCCTTCAACTGAGTGTGTCCGGAAGGTGCAAGCCGCGCATCTCCATTGGAAATAACGAACTTGCGCGAACTCTAAAAAAGATGCAATCCGTTTTTTTAAGTTGTGACGTTGAGTTTCTGGGTCCAAGCTGCTACTCATTTGAATTGAGAAAATATTTGTTGAAGACCACTTTATAGTCCTATCACACATTAAAGTGAATATTATATCAAATCATTAGCCCCTTTCACACATACAGACCTTTTTACCGGCAATTTTCCAGAAAGGTCTGTATGTGTGAACAGACCTTTTTTAAAAATACCGATAAATCCGTTCCGGCTATTTTCCGGAAAGAGAAGTCAGGCAGAAGCATACACGTCCACGCTGTTTATGAAAATAAAAGGCTTTGAATATTTTTCCAGACAAATTTAGCTGCTAGCTGTTAGTCAGATAACGTTTATATGTTCTATCTTAATGCCAACTGTGTAAATAATTATCGATAAGATGCTTATGATGAATCGTTGTTTGTTTACCTTCAAGCTCTTTTTCCTCCAGTTGCTTCATGCGTCGCCTGTGCCCGTGAACACACACAAATATCATGTACATCTCGACATGCGAAAGTGTTCCTCTATATTTTCATCAAAGTTGTTCACAATACGGATCCATCTCCAGAGTTTGTAATGTAGTCAAATGTTTACAAATACAAGCCCAGCCATTTAGAGGTCATTTCTGATTAATGATATTGAAATGCTATTATGAAATGAATGCGTGAACGGTCTTTTCCGGAAAAAATCCGTAATGTCCTCGCCTGTATGAACAGCGCTTTTTTAAATTTACCGGTAAAATAAAATTTTCCGCATATTTTCTGGTATCACTGTGTGAAAGGGGCTATGGTGTACATTACAGTCTCTGGGCTAGCTGCATCACAAATACAAGAGTTTTACAATTTATAAAACATTTATCACTTTCTGGCCATCAGATATTAGGCATGGATATATATATATTACGATTGTGATTTTCGAAAGTTTTACATCACTTTTTTTGAAAGTTTATTATTACCATTTGATGAGTTCCCATTCAGTTTGATAGAGAGCTTGGACTTAGAAGCCACCTGGTGTGACGTCACACTTAACAAGCAGATACGCGAACGGCCCCTAATAGCCGCCATCATTTGCGATCTCCATCACTTGATCTTCTTGCACTGACATGATGGATTCACCTGATTTGTTGACAAACGGGTTGCAAATCTATGTCTTGGCAGTTTGCGGGTTCTTCACTGGGTCTTTTCCCTTAAGCAAAGAAATATTCAAAGGCATCTGTTTGTTACTCATTTTCTGCTTATGGGTAGTCAAGTGGCTGAGATGAAGGCAAGAGAATACGGTAATTTTTCAAAATAAAAGACTTTTCTAAATAAAAGATCGCTCAGACTCAGATAATAAATAAAATGGAAATTTCTTGTGCCGCCCGGTACCAGTTGGTTCGGGGGTTGACGACCTCTTTTGTAAAAGGTCTCAAAAGAGATCACTAAGGTTTTTCTCAGAGTTCCTCCAGTCTCCATTTAACAGTTAATATAAGTTTGTGATTTTCGAAGACAATGCAGTCAGAAGAGCAAGATAATTAAAACTGCACTGGACCTGGCAGGAAACAAGTGTTGCTTTTCAAAAGTAAAATAGACAGGGTAGAAAATAGTCAAGATAAAATCATGACTGGTTTTGGCACAAACTAACTTTAGGAGAAAGCTTGCTTGAAGAGCAAATCAGCTTTCGACCAATGAATCACAGTGTTACGTACATCCAGATTTATGTGCTTCAAAAAATTATTGTTGCCCATTTAAATCCTACCGTCTCTTACATCAAGCAAACAGCTCAGTCAATCAGCACTGATCCACAGTACAGTCAGCATTGACTTAAAGTGCAAAAAGGCCAATGTGAGTAACTATTCTGTTCTATACAGCAGCAAACAATCAGATTAATCTCCATCACGGTTAATTTTACCCTGTTTTGGCACAGTAATAAATACACAAAGTACACTGACCAAATGGTCCAACTTAATTCCAGCGTATGGAGAGATTTGC